TTTGGAACTTTGGTATATTGGTATGCTTCACTGCGTGTTTAAAGTTGGAAATGTTGATTGATTCCCGTACACAGTATGGCATAATGCTAGATTTATGCTAGTTGGTACAAATTTATGACAAGAAAATGACTTTAATGATTAGAAACAGAGGCTTTCTTCACACGCTTTCTTCTCCATGATTGTGGTTACTATTCGTTTGCAAAATGATATTGTGTTTTTGGCCACAATAAAATGATGGAATCTGGGCAGTGAGACAGTCGGAGTGGATTCAGTCATGATTCCTGTGTATTGTTTGCCATGGATCCAACAATGCAAAATTTACAGTCCCCAAGCAGTTTTGAATATTCGATAGCAATGTGATTTCATCTTCTGCACAATGTTGCACAAAACACTTCGGCATCTTTATTCCATGGCTATGAAATTGCATGATCCACATCACATCTCATCATGCAGAAATAACGGCTCAAACTTTATCGCCGCCAATAGTAACAAATTCAGTACGCTAATCTCCTACCTGGCAAGTTCGAACTTCATGCTCATAAAGATTGACCACCGTAGACCTTCTAACATTGACCGGAGTTTCTAGTCCACCAATCTGAAAGTCAGCGATGACATGTAAATTGGTTCAAAGTTACAGAAATCTGTTCAATACCCTGCAAGAACCCTGGGCTCATCTCGCGTTGGATCCTGTTTTGTGGACTTGCTAAAAATCTGTCGACTCTTCCCTAAGTCCGTGGACCCGGGAAACTGGTACAAGATTTGGAATTCATTGTAGTAATCAAACCAACAAGCGTATCACCCTAATCTACTTCCGAGACCCCGGTCTTCGAGAAGATCAGGTTTAATCAGAAAAGATTCATCAACTCCTTCCTTATTTTTGTTGTCTTTAGACGATCCGAATTAGTCTAGTTGCACATCAACATGTAACGTTTATCCCCAGATTAAATTCCTTTAGCATCTTTCAGTCCAAGCTTCCGGACCGACGGTTGGACGCTTCCCGGATAAGCACTCAACTTGAAGACAATTTAACATCCTTTTTACCAGGATGGCTGACAGTCAATGTAGCTAGCTTCTTCTCTTCTCAAATTTAAGCTAATTCACCACTTTTACAAAGTCAAGTTACACATGGAAACCACACAAACTAACTTTGATCCAATAAGGAAGGTAGCTGGAACCACCGAATTCATATCAACCTGAAAATTGACGCTTTTACTTTCCATACAGAGACATATACGAGCCTCCTGAATATTCTACCAAGACTTTAACCAACATACTTCCAACTCCATCTGCAAGCTCATTCGCCTTATGAAAACGGCATGAATTCACGCTTGAAAGTAGACCCGCTCTTTTAATAAACGACCATTGAACAAACCCACCTAATCTGTCAGAATTCCCAAATACATCATATCTAGTCACCGAGTTGATTACCTCAATTGTTTACCCTAAACAATCATGATCACTTGTCCCTATTCATTTTAACCAACAATTCCATGTCCATGTCTTAGAAGCGCCGCAATAAGCATTTTTCCTCCAAACTTTGCAAGTCCCGGAAAATCTTCCTGCATGGTCGACACACCCAAGAATGCAAATGCCGTGCCTCAAGCTTCATAGTAGCACTACCATGTAATCCCACCTCAGCCTTCAAACGGTGAGTAAAGAATAGAAAATGCAATTGCGAGGCGGGCTGTGCATCTCGAACAGCAAACACTTGCACAGACCTTTCGTGATCCGTTCCGTCGGGACTTACATCAGCACCATTACCACACTAATAAACTGTGCAATGCAACATTGCACTTTTATCTCATCTCTCTTGGGCACACTCAGGTTAGTATCGGATACCGGGTAAATATATCTGCAAATGCAAGAGTGTCACTTCTTGTTAAAATGCAATGTCCAACAGACAAGCTTTCAATGTCCCGATCAGGATATACATCTGTTCAGTTGGTTATTTGTGATTGGGCATGAATAGGGGCTAGTAGTAGTGCTGATGCAAATTTACCTTGTTCAAATATGCGTCTAAGCGAATGGTAGGGGGTCTCCGTGGCAGCGCAGCTGTTGTTGCTTCTCATGAAGTGTATGAACATGGGTATGGATGGGCCGCGTGAAGCTGATATTGTGATATTGTATTTTTGGCGGGGCTTTGTTTGGGTTTTAGAATTATCATTTGGAGAGAAATGGTGGGAGCTGGGAGAGCAGCAGCGAATTGTGAACGGTCACACGTCTCGAACGTTCTCTCCCTTTGTCCTCGGCCCATCTCGGGGATTCGGGGAAGTGAGATGAATGGTTCCAAGAGCATTGACCCTTGGAATAGAGGATTAGACAAGCCGGTATTGATGCCCGGCTCAATTGATTGTCTTCAAGCGAGTTTCTTCGTTTGGAAATTTGAGTGATTCGATGCATATCATTACCAGGGTTATTTAGTTCCAGAAGAAGTTGGCCGTTGTCGTTTACCCCAAGAAGGTATCTAATACCCCTTTCTTCTACATGCTGCATCTGCCGAATCTTTGAATATAACCGCGCTAAGAAGGATTTTAATGACCTTGTACAACCTAGCAAGCCCAAATCTTCATGTAGAATCTTCTAGACGCCCAGAAGAATACACCCATGCCAGACGGCGACAAGATTTCACAGTCGCCGAATTCGCCGCCGAATACCAACCTGTCGGAATTTGACTGCCAAGCTCGGCTCGGCCACTCCGCTCTCCTCATAGTGACACGAATTCGCGCCAGGTCTCCGACGAAAGCCCATTGTAGGCTAATTTTACATCCACTGGCTGAATCAATTCATGCGGCGCAGAATACTCGACAATATCATGCCAACATTCGCTATCAGCGGCTTTGAGAGCCGGCGCAGTAGGCGCACAAATATTCGAGGGTTGGAGATGCAACAGTTGGAAGTTTTTGGCATGCAGTAGGCACAGTGCGTTATCTTCGATCATATTTTATGCCTGCAGTCTTGGATAGCACTTGTCTCACATAGAAACTTGTACAATCAGGATGTGAAGTTGGTGATCTGGATGCGCAGCCGAGTAATTGCGGCCAAGGCCATTATCCTAGATGGGTTGGGATGTCGAGAAAGATCACATCCGCAGTTGTGAATGGGAAATAAGGAAAATATGATCATTGAGTGGGAACACTAATCCCGAGGGTTTGTGTTTGCCGTGGGGGTGGTGATCAGTGATCACCTGCGGTGAGAAGACGATAATTTCGCTGGCAAGAATTCATGACGATCAACCAAGGTGTTTGTGTCACCTTGACTGTGATTAATGTCTCCGAGGAGTTAGATATCACACCATTGTGATTTTGGTGCATGCCTTGATGGCTCAGTTCATATCGACATGTGTGACCTGAGCGTTCTACCCCTCATATGGTATTTGGTTTTTGGGGGTCCGCAATCCACCACCATCCAGTGCTTTCACGTACTTGTGCAAGAGTTTTCGAGTCTCATTGGATTCGTATATTTCCCTTCATGAAAGTGATAGGATATAGCAATGATGTGTGTCACTGTGAAGCCTGTACTCCCACAGAAATCAAAAGCCACAAAAAATAAAGGAAAAAAACTGTGTTGGATGCCTGTTTTGAAACTGCCGGAGTATCATCTGATCGAGGCGGATCATCACTTGGGAGTGTATTGTCTGTTGGAATCTCAAGAGTTGTTGCTCTTGTTGGATTTCATTTGCCACGAAATTACATTAGTTAGAGTACAATTCAAGTGCGAAGATGTGAATTTGGGCGAGGCCGTGGACGCCATCAAGATGAGTCTGCCTCTGATTATCATCTAGATACCCTACACACTTACATCAATTCCCCTCGATCTCAGCTAACTAAAGTCATACTAATCATTAGAATCATTTTTGTCCTTCATCAAACGCAACAAAAAAGCAGTTAGCTGTTGGATTCGGCTCAGGTCTTTAGATGATTCTTCTGCAGTCTCTCTCCAAACACTTCAACGTTACAAGCCAGTCTCATCCATAGAACCCCTCAAATTCCTCAAAGATCAATTCTGATGGTAAAGACTTTAGATATTATACCTAGATCAAGGTAATTTTTACGCCCTGTTTTGATGGTTCTCCTCACGCATACAATGGCACTCCGTCGTGCGGGAGGAAACATCCCGATTGTTGTCGAGTCGACGCCGCTCCATACAGAACATAAGAGGATTACACATACAAAAAAACTGTGAAATTTAAATCTGGGTCAAGTAATAAGATCTCAAACTGCTAGGGAGACGGAGGCTTCCTCGTCAACTTTAATTAGACGTACCCCGTATCACTTTGACTTTGAATCTTTCACAGCTCTGCGACTTGCTAGAATGAACACAAAACCATCTTTTGACCATGTCGCACAGAGCCTTTAGATATAATGCCATTGATTGTGAATATCACCGAGATTTTTCACCACTGCATGTGGTTCACGGAGAAGTGCCCGTCGTCATTCGGTAGCAGAATTTAAGCTTCATGACACCTAGCCTAAGTAGTTTCAGCGTCTTATCTCGTCAATTTACTGTGAGAAAAGCATTTCTAATCCTCAAATCAACCATCATCGTGCTAAGTTATTCGCCATTCGTTATTCTGGCATCCTCGACTAAAACTGCACAGGTGCAGCACACCAGACTTCAACACGGCTAACTTAACCCACTACTCGCCTTGCACATTGTTAAATCAAAAAATTTCAAGACATCTGAATACAAATTACTATTCAATTAAGGCTTTGTTGGCAGACTTCCAAGGTTCCTCTTGCTCGTTTATTGTGGCAGTGTTCCGAGATGACATGGCTTGACTTTTGTCCTTTACAAACTTCACTTTCTTATGTGGCAAAGCTACTTGGGTGTATTACCCCATTCAAAATCACTTAACACTTCAACTTATCTCATAGTTTTTAAATAATGATGTTAAAATAAGCCTACTAAAACTGACAAAAAAGAACGTAACCTATCACTACACTATCGCAAAGAGCTGCCCAAAAGTAATCCTAAATTGCTCATCCGTTAACCCTTAACCCTTAAACCTTAACCCTTAGTCTCATCAACCTCAACTCTTCCGTAACAGCAGCTGTAATTATAGAAGCCTCCTCCAACCCCGCAATCTTCTTCTTAACCAGTGCTCCAAATCGAGCTCTTGACCACTCACTCGATCCATAAACCATCAAGATATCTAAATTCGCAAGCTTTGCCGCCCGAACCTTCATATCAAAAACATTCGTCGTCGCCTCTCTAATCCAATTTGCTCCCTCCTCTGTCTTAAAGAATTTATGCCAAAGAGGTCTATTATCACCTTCCTCATGAGTCAAAACTCTACCTCGAAGAAGATCCTCGAGAACTGCCTTACATTGCACAACTTTCTCCTCGCATGTACCCATGATTGTTACCTCCATGAGCTTCTCGCCAGAATAATCAGCACGGTATGAGTCTCCCCAATGAAGCTGGCAAGAATTCTGTCTGAAGATTTGATGAAGGTTTCCTTGGTTCTGGCGACCTAGTGAATCGATGATGTATCGAGGTATCATGTATTGCACTGCGATTTGATGGCTAACTGTTACATGAATGCTCATGCTTGCACCAACCGCGGTGATCAAATGTCCATTGATTGCGGCAGCCGCAGCAGCAGCTTCGTGGCGGTGTCGAAATGTGATCTGAAGGGAATGCCACGAACCCATGTTGCGATGAATGGGTTGGTATGGGGAAAGCTCTCCCCAGGTTGATGCGAGATGAATAAGAGTATTGATCATGTCGTTGGCCGGCACATTCCATTCTTGGGGCCATGAAAATAGGATTTCAGTGTGACTATATTCAAAATGATACGTTAGTATAGAGTAGATGAGAGTGTGAATGGGATCCACGTACCTAGCTTGACGATCGTAAATGCCAGGTCCTGACAACTCAAGATTGGAGGGTTCTAATGTGGCCGACCAGTCTACAACTACACGGGACAGGTTGTCCACAGCTGATTGATAGTCTGTGGACACATGCTCCATGACAGAGATTTGTTTTTCCTCCATGAGTGCTACTGTGGTCGTCTGGTTGGATGATTTGTTTGCCGATAAAACTGGATCTGTAGATTGAACCACAGATGCTTGTTCAGAATCGACAGGAGATTCGATCGGTACTGTGTAGGATGAAGCAATCAATGTCTCCGCAGGAATCGTGGGTAGCATGGTATTGTTCATACCATTGATAGGTGCTTCATCAATCGACTGGTCAAATGGAACTGGCTTGACTGGAGTAGGCGAGTCATCTGGAACAGTAGACATTGAGGTGTCGAGCGCATCATCAATGGGTGATGGGCTTTGAGTCGCAGATCGGACTGAATCGGAACTATCGCTCATCGGTGTGATATCGCTTGAAAATACATAGCCAATATCATCTGCACTGCCAATGCTGGTAGAAGCAGGTGTGAGCACCTGGAACGATGGAGTTTCGGGAGTAGAATCAGAACTCTCTGATGGAGTTGTAATTCTACCACCCGGCTGATCGTTGGAGGAATCAGTGTTGGTAGCACCAGTATCACTTGTACCGTTTGAAACGGATGTAAGCTTGGTGGGCGATAGAGAATTTTCATAAGAATCTGGATCAATTGATGGAGCAGGAATCTTGCCAGCAGGCTTTTTATAAGCAGAGTCCATATTGACGGTAGCTGCGGTGCTTGGAACAGCCGGGATGTCCATGGTTGCTTGAGCTTGCATAAGGACTGGAGCAGAATTAGAAATCTTTGATGCAACGGTCGTTGTATTGACAGGCTCCTTCTCGGACAATTCAGCGTTGGTAGCCGTCGTGGTCTTTGAAGCCATTGGCATAGTCGTAGTAGATTCCGCAAGTGGAAGTGTTGGCATTACTCCAAACTCCTTTGGTGATGCCAGCATGGTCATCTCACCAACAGGCTTATCCTTAGATATTTGGACGTCGGTAGAACCTTCATCCTTTGAAACATTTGGTGTAGTGGGGGTGACTTTATACTTCTGTGGACGAACTCGAGCAGAGCGAAAGTTCATCAAAGGAGCAACTGTTGTATTGGCAGGCTTTGCCTTGGGCGACTTGATAGTGTCAATTTTTGTGGTCTGCAAATTCTCCGTTGTAGCCACGGTAGATTGAGAATGTTGAAGAGCTGAAGTAGCACTAGAAGCTACCTTATCTGTCGGAGCGGGATGGTAACTAATACACTGAGATCCGTATCTACATCCACGTCTTGAAAGAAAGTTCTTGCAGGCAGGACGACTAGGCTCAGGGCTCTCTGCAGGAACGGGAGCTGGGTGTCCAAATTGACACTTCAATCCCCACTTGCATTTACCATAGAAGATGAAGTTCTTACAAGGGAAAGGCTGATAAGGACCTATATGCTTTTTCTGGCATTGGTCTCCAGCTATACAGCGGCCGATGGGATAGTGTACACAGATACCCATTTTCTCGTTTTTTTTTGATGGTTTAATAAAGTATTGTTGGATTTTGATTTTGATAGTCGGAAGATGTGGGTTTCTGGGTACTTCTGAAAGCTTGAAAGCTTGATGAAAGTTTAGATTTTTATTTGTATTTTGTTTGAATTTGGACACTTTGTAAAAGTGCTTCAAAATCAACCGTCAAAAGCTTATGTTTTAAGAAAGGTTGTGATTTACTGAGTTGGAAGTTCCTTTTGTAATAACTTTCGAAAGTTCAGACCGTACTAAGGCTGATCGAAAACGATGCTAGCTGTGCACTGCAGATAGCCAGATACATTAACAGATGCATTACAGTAATAATTAAGTACAGTAGCTGATTCAGTAAGGCAAATGATTGAATACAGTGATTTAGTGGATCAGTCACAGTAAGGCAGTCCGAAATGCTATAAACACGTCTCGCTGCAAAGATCTTGCAAGATATGTGGTATTGGTAAGATTGAGAATAGGACATGAATTACCTAGGTGTTTATCACATACGTCTCTGTTTGTCATCTATTATTCACTTTCGATGCTCATTACCGGTAAAAGAGGAGCAAGTATTGTCGCAATCTAACATAGTACAGCTAGAATAGTAGAGATTCAGAGCTGGTATTGGAGGTCTTAAATCCCCCCCTTCAACTATAATCAAGATTATCAATCGTATAGTGGTAGTGCCGGCGGGATATCTGAATTGCAATTCAAGGTCTCATGGGCTTCTGAGTCGAAACATCCCCTGGCACATATCTGCAATGGGTTGAAAGTAGCTGAACAGGGGGAGACAAGATGAACACAACTTCAGACTCCCGAGGTCATCTCGAAAAATTGTATCCGCTTCAGTTGTTGGTTGCAAACTGGTGAATCAGATGTTAAAATTGATACTTCTGAGAATTTGCTATTGCTTCGAAAGTGGAGGTAGAGAGCCAAATCACTGCCAGTTTGTAGGTGATAGTATTCCACTTGATACTGTTGATAGCATGTTGTCCTTTCAGTATCATCTGAGATGCTAATGTCTCTGAAAAAAAGAAAGAGAAAACGAAAGAGAAAAGGGAATCAAAAAGAATTGAGAAGCTCAATCAGAAGAAGATGTCAAACGAAATATTTGAATGGCTGAGAAAACTCACTCTCTGCTATGCGCGATGTTTCTTTTGATTTCTTAATTCGGTCTGAAAACTTCATTGACAACCTAAACTTTGGAGAATGAGACTGGAATAGATAAAAAACAAGACGACGAAGAAAACTTTGATTGCTGTTTTCTTCACATGTTCGCCCAGCTTCAGCCCAACCAATTTTAAATATGGGGGAATCAGGCCCTTCTTCAGGACTGTGATAATTTTGATTAAGCTTGTCACCTGCGATGTCACTCTTAATTGGTCAATGCTGGCTTTGACAGAGATAATGTATGTATCGGAGCTTCTTCGTCTGTATTTTCTGAATACAGGTGAAATTGATGAAAGCTCTGCCTTTCACCTTGATAGTCTTCAAAGTCAGTCCTTTGCTCTCCAAACGCTTCTTGGCACACAAGGGATTGACATGATTAAGTGACCACAGCAGAAACTCAACCGTAGCATCTCAAAAGCCGCGATAACATAGACTTTATATTTTCACAAATGTCGAAGGAGTGATGTTGGGCATCTTGTATTATTAACAGAATAGTTTCAATTATTGCCTGTATTAACTGACCAATCAGATGAATGACAAGGGTGAGCTAGCAATCGCGTAAGCTCTAGCACTTTTAGAGCCTTAGTTTGGTGCAGCTTACATCTTCACATGCCTGTGGCTCCTATGATCGCCAATTTTATACGATGTCTAGATAAGCTTCAATAGGAAGGGAAAAGAGTGTATCTTTCCACCCTAATTAAGTTGGCCATTGGTGATGCCTCCCTGATTAATGCTAACATGGTATTGGCCTGAATTTGAATCCTGGGAACCACATTATATATTGCCAGCATTCGGATAGATAGCATCCTTGAATCAGCAAAACTCAAGCTATAAACGTATTACGAGATTTGGCGCGCTTCGAAAGCTGTTCATAACGACTAATCATGACATCACTTCCAGACAACATTTCCTCGTCAAGAGACACAAGTCTTATAGCGGCTACTCCAGATCCTATCTCTAACTCCTCAATAACTCCTCTCCAAAATTTTGATGAGAATAACGAAAGCAAAAAGAAACATGCCGACTCCAGATCACGAATCCCATCATGAAGTTGCGTCGCGCTCTGTAGATGTCAGCACAACCGATGGAGCTTCTCTCGACACTCCCCCGGAAGTTGTGGCTCATAACTCCAATCACATAACCAACGGACAGAATGAAGATGTGCCTAGTGAATGGCTTACCGGTAATAAATTGATCGCGGTATCAATTGCTTTTGGAATAGCGGATATTATGGTTGCATTAGACAGCAGCATTTTAGTTACCATCCGACTATCCACTCTACACTTTTCACCTACGGAAAACAATCTGACAATCACACTTCTGCTATAGCTACTGCATTACCCACCATATCATCTGAATTCAAGGCAGTCAGTGATATTGGATGGTACGGTAGTGCCTATCTTTTGGCACAGACATCATGCCAACCCGTATTTGGGAAGATCTATACTTGCTTCGAGCCCAAGGCAACCTATCTTACTAGCCTTCTTGTTTTCTGTATTGGCTCGATTCTTTGTGCTGCAGCCCCTGTCTCTTCGTGCTTGATTCTTGGTCGAGCAGTGACTGGGCTTGCTGCAGCTGGAATTCTCACGGAAGTCACTACTCCAGGTTTCTCTCGGATCAAAAATTTGAATCGATGCAAGCACGTCGTGCGGTTCTGTATTGACATTTTCTCAAAACAATGACCAAGGTGTTGACGCCCCAGCTTTAAGCACTGCTGTTTCTGATCTCATTTTTCGCAGAGCCATTTTTGGCCGTGTGGTCCCCCCGAGACTTAGGCCGCAAGAAATGGCAATCATGGTTAGCATTAGTAGCATTGTATCAATGATAGGTAGCACCGTCGGTGGTGTTCTTACAGATTCGATTCTAACATGGAGGTTCTCCTTCTGGTTAAACTTACGTATGCTATGCTGTCCTTTAATACCATCAATCAACTGACTGAAAAATTAGCGCTTGGACTTGCCTGTAGTCTCGTTGTCTTTTACATCCTAGATCGCAAGCCTCACCCTGATCGCCAGTTACCCATTTCCACGAAGCTATTGAAGCTGGATCCTCTTAGCTTTATTTTGCTACTATCAAGTATGACCTGCCTTTTTGTGGCTGTTGAATTCGGTGGCGTATCCGTCTCATGGTCGAATTCAAAAGCTTGGGGATCTGTACTAGGATTTGGACTTCTTGGGATTTCTTTCATCATTCTTCAGCGACACCAAAAAGAAAAGTGAGAATCTTGATACTCTGCTCTACCTTGTAGGACTAGTATATTCAGATGATGCGACAGCGAACAGTCGCTATCTGCTATATGTTCTCATTCGCATACGGACTCGCCATCACTACCCATACTTGGTTATTACCAACCTATTTCCAAGGTGTAAAGTATTTCTCGGCTTCTATATCTGGGGTCCTAGGTTTATCGCTCTCCATACCCATGACAATTTTCAGTTTGGTAACTGGCTTCTCAACAACGCGGTGTGGCCATTACGTGCCATTCATGTGGGCGGGAGCATTAATATATGTAGCTGGAAGTGCGCTTCTATATCTGCTCACAACAGATAGTGGTATGGGGGTTTACATCGGCTATTCAGTAATCGCCGGAATAGGATGCGGAATGGCAATTCAAGTCACTTTTATCGCAGTACAAGTAGTTGTTTCGCCTTCTGAAATGGCGCACGCTTGCAGCATGGAGGTTTTATTTCGTCAGCTTGGAAGTGCTATAGCTATCAGTGTTGCTGAGAACATCTTCCTATCATCAACACAAGGCCGACTTCAACAGCTTCTTCCACAGAGTAACGATTCAATCCTCAAAAGCGACATTCGCGAGTTTGCTATGCTGAGCCAGACATTTCCTCCAGCAGAGCAACAGGAGGCCAAGAGTTTCATTGGTTACGGCGTTAAGCAGGCTTTCATACTACCCTTGACTGCTAGTTGTGTAGCCGCTGTTGCAAGCTGGGGAATGGAACGAATCAAGATTGAAGACGAAAACGAGAGAGCAATAGCCCAAAATATTGAATTGACTTGATGACCCGCGCAAGGTAGGGCTTGTCGACAAGGTATGCCTGATATCCTCATGTCTGTGTCACCACTTGGAATATGAGTAGCACCTGAGAAGGTCGCAAAAGTAGCCAGTACCGATATCTGGATCGACGCTGGTACATTGGTCACTGAACGCAACTGAGTTAGATTCAAAAAAGTAGTAACACGCATATCATCTAAAATCTCCACCTACACCTCAAGATGCACTGTTCTTACCACAACCATGTGTAAAAGCCCGAGCAATGTGATAGAAATGATTTTAGTAAGCGCTCTTACACGAACTATTTCCATCCATGATGTTCTAGACGAATCAAATAAATCCGGCAATATCTAATAAATTCAAAATCAACCAACCCAAATTCAAAGACACAAACAACCATAACCCAACTTGACATAACTAAGATCATCAGATATCGCATTGTATGGCAACCAAAAATAAAAAAAATAAAAGCCCACTAGGACTCTCTCGTACTCCCTACATCATTATCACACGCCCATCTATCGCGCTGTATGAATATGCATTGCACAAGGCCATTCCCCAATTCGATTCGATATTCAACCGACTGATCGTAAATTCTTGGATTAATCATCTTTTCTATTGGACTACGCCCTTTAACTCTCTATTTTCACCCACCCACCCACCTACCCTACCTGTCCCTTATTTCCTCCAGACAATCCACACGCATCAAATTCAACCTCAGCTCAACTCGGTAAACACGCCGCTCGTTAACATATGTAAAGTTAAAGGTATCTGAACATTTGCGCACATCCTGCTGGATATCATAGCATATCAAATCATACAATACAATCTCGCTTCTCCTTTTCCACCATTTAACACATTTTCGTTCCCTTTTCCATTTCCGAAGATTTCGTCAAAAATATTAGTCGCTACCTCTGTACCTCACCACCAATCCACATCCCTTTCAAGCCAAACTCAATCTCTCCAATCTTCCCTTCGTAGCCTCCACCAAAGCCGTCTCGCGATCCAACAACTTCATTATCTGTCCCACCTTCTTCCTCCTCAATTCAGACGGAACCTGTACATCCCTTGCTGAGTCTCCATCTCTCTCCTCTTGTTGCTCCTCATCTCTCTCCCTCTCCGCATCCTTCACCAATTCATTCGCCTGACTCAAAACCTCATCCTTTAGTTCCTTCACCTCTTCATACCTCTGCCAAGGATCCTTCGAGACCTTCACCATACTCTCCGTTGATCCGTCCATATCTTCACCCAGTACCTTTCCACCAAGACTCCTCACCTCTTCTATCCACGCTTTCTCCTTATCACTCAGTTCTCTCTGCGTATTTTTAGGAATCTTCTTCCTAATATTTTCAATTCTCTCATTCAAAATCTTCTGTTTGTCCTTTGCTTCCTTGATTCTTCGTTCCATTTTTTCATTTGGTGGCACTCGAGGTTTATCATCATCTTCATCTACATCCTCGCCAATGACAGATTCCACACGTGTTGCAATTTCGTTAGCTTGTTTGATATGTTTTGAAAGCTCAATCTGAAGTTTGATACATTTTCTGAACAGTTCTGCGGCTGCGGTACCAATGCGATGGGTTTCTTCACTGAGAACTTTATGGGCGTCGGTCATGACCGTAAGTGTAGCTGGTGATAATCGGATCTCCTCTTTCAACAAACGCTTGTATTTGCTATGCTTTATTTTTTCGTGAAGAGAGGGTAATTCGGATGGTTGTTCCAAAGCATAAGATGGTTGGTACACAGGCCGAGCTTCGAATAAGACGAGAGGTTTATCATTATCGGTTTCGGAGTCGTATGATTCTGAGCGACCACGGCTACGGTTAAAATCCAATTGAAATTCAGGTGATTCAAAGTTGATAGATAATGGGCCATGAGCATTTGCGGAAAGAAGGAAATAGCCAAGATCAGGATCTTGAATAATTGTGCTGGCAGCAAGAGGGGCATTCTTGTCAATCATGGGTGGCGTATAGACCCTCTGCCTTTCTGATGGGGTGCTAACAACTACACCAAGTCGAACATTAGACTCTGCGCCTTTGGATAATTCTTCCTCGAGCTTGAATACCCATGTAGAGAGTGACATGTATGTGATGTTCGAATTGTTGGTAATGAAGAACGAATATCTTGATTCGACATCATGACTAAAAACTGGCCAACATCCTTCCCAAACCTCATTGGGTTTGGAAGTATCCAAAACTTCATAAGTCAGCAAGACAGGTGGGTCCGGGTCGTCCAGAAATCGTAACATCCTTGAATTCGATCTCGGTAACCATTGAGCTTCGATTCCAACCAAGTCCAGGCAGATTGAAATACGCCCAGTAGTTGTAAGCAAACAAATCACGCTCATAGAACATCCCTCTTTGTCGATCTCATCTAACTCAAGCTCATCGTCCTCCTCTCCATCCATGAGCTCTTCGGCATTCAGCTTTGGTCCAATGACATAAATGTCACTGAATAGTTCATCGTCCTCGTCATCCTCAACCTCGGGGGCCATCTCAAAATCGAATGGACCTTGTAATCTTGGTACTTTTCCAGGTCTAGAAGGTCTTGTGTAAACCTCAATTGGCGGCTCACCCAAAGATCCCTGAACCTGGCTTGGATCTTGATTGTCGATATCCGTCATCCAATCTAATTGTTGTTGCGCCAGGAGTTTGCTACCTTGAGTTACAGTTGGATCATCTTCAATAGCGGCGATATTGGATACAATCGATATCGAAAGGGAAGGAATCAGCGTGGGTGGTGGCGCCCATTTTTCGGGCAATAATGGACAAAGAGCATATACATCTCCTTCCCTCATTGCAAGCCAAAGAGTCATAGGTGACCAACCTCCAGATCCTCTACCTGCAAAACAAGCCGATGCTACCTCCATCTCAAAAGCATCCGGAGAAAATTTGCTTGGTTGACCAGCCACGGAAGCTCCAAAATCTTGATCAGCCGAAACTCCATCCGCCAATTTTTTCAGATCGACCACAAGAGTTGGTTTGTCGAAAGACCAACGATCGGTTGTAGACAATTCCCATACGCGAACAACGGCATCTTTTGTAATTGTGACCAAACATGTTCCATTAACGCCCAATGGATGCCACAGCGCAGTTGATATTCCAGATCGTGATGTGACATGTGTAGTTGGACCCAAGTGAAAAGTCTTAATCTTCATAGGACCATTGTCGGGGGCTGTAAGATGCGAGGTTTCAGGTAAGATTGCGACATGTACGGTATGAGTTGTCAAGATCGCCATGAAATTCGAATTGGGAGAGATAATCAACTGTCGAATTTCATCTGCCATAGGAATTTTGAGTGTCTGCAGAACATTAGCACCCAAATACAATGACGGAAGCTTCAAAACTTACTCTATACTCCCGAGCAACATTCTCTTCAGCCTCAATTTCCTCTTCGGCTCGTGATTTACCTTTCAAGAAGCTTCTTTGGTTCTCTTGTTTGTTTTCCCATGTTTCCTTCAAGTAAACAAGATCCGCCCATCGAATTTCCTTTCCAACAGCAACGAATATCTCAGTCCCCCTACGCGCAATCGTTCTCTTCGGTCCTGGTTTATTCGTTTTCTTCTCATTCGGATTATAACTAGCTCCAGAAGCTGTTTGGATGCCCGTCGGTTTCGCTGTAAATATCTCATGGCCTGGATTTGGCTTTGAAAGCCATGTAGGTGTGTAACCAAGAACTGGAGGCATTTTTCAAACCCTGCGCTCGATGTTATTATTTTAAATAATCAGCACATTCGTAGAAGCTCGATATTGGAAAGCAACTTGTATGTTACGGCGAAGAGAAGTGAATTGAGTCTGGAACTTTTTTTGAGGTTGGATGGGTTTAACATCAGGCTATGCTAGCGCGTCGCGAAAGCTTGGTGCATGCGGGTAGGTAATTGGAAGCCTTCTGTGTTGTAAATGTTCCCCAGGAAACAAAGAAATCCATCAGCCTTGTAGAAAATTGGATTGTAAAGAAACAACAAATTTCTAAAAATGCCTGGATCAATTAGAAATACTGTCGATAGGCTTGACAAACCAAGTGCCTATTATCAAGGTAGAGTAAGCTATGCAATTATTATTCCACTCGGCGCAGAAGGAGCTCGACTAACAATCTGGTCCAGAATAAGAAGCGCAGATACGAGAGAGATGGAGAGGACGAGAGAAGAGAACGAACTCCAGAGGAACCAGCAGATGATCCTTTAAAAGACGCGACAACACTTTATGTTGGAAACTTGTATGTCAAAGTGCATCCAATGTTTTCATTTGAGCTGTTTTCAATCAATCAATGGGCTGGGGCATGGTTTGAGGCATGAACTAACAATTTGTCTACAGATCCTTCTACACAACTGAAGAACAGATTCACGAACTATTTGCGAAATGTGGTGAAATCAAGAGATTGATTATGGGATTGGATAGATTCAATAAGACACCTTGTGGGTTTTGTTTCGTGGAATATTATACTCACCAAGATGCGCTCGATTGCATGAAGTATATTGGCGGTACAAAGCTCGACGAGAGAATCATTAGAACAGATTTGGATCCAGGATTTCAAGAGGGAAGACAGTACGGACGTGGGAAGTCTGGCGGCCAAGTGCGCGATGAGTACCGTGAGGAATACGATGAGGGGAGAGGAGGTCTAGGTAGAGCTATTCAAGCTGAAAGACAGAAAGAAGAAGAAGAATATGGCAAGGGTAGATAGTTTATTGGAGAGTTGGACGATTGTACGATATTTTGCAGTACTTGGGAAGGCGTATAAGGAACTGCGGTGATTCATTGATATCAGAATGGTGAGCTGCATTTGCATAGTAGGAGAAATTCTTAGGATTCTAGCCATTCCAGAGCACTGAACTCATGCCCTTTCATTCTTTTTCGTATACACATATCCCAAACGCCATCAATGCATATTGTACATCAATTCTTCCGATGAGAACTCTTTCCATTGAGTCCATCCAAATATATCCATATCAATACCCGGGAGGATTGAGTCGTTGTGATAATCTCGTCCACTTAGGAAGCTCTGCAGTAATATCAGTAAACTGACTCCGTCTGTAGAGACACATCTGCCAAACTTACTGTGAATTCCCTTTCTATATTTCTTCTCTTTCCGATCAAAGATTGTGTATTTATCTTTTGGTAACATCTCCTGCTCCGTTGGCATTTCCTCCTTCCACCTCTCCACAGCCTTTGTCGTAATTCCCTTAGCAGCCAAGGCTCTATCCACTGTAGCAACCACCAAATCGACTGCCCTTAAACGTTTGCGCTGTCGTGCCTTTTGGAATTTCGAGAGTCGCCATGGGATCTTCCTAAATCGCACCACCGTTAGCAAATCTCCACGCTCAAAATGATACCAGAGAATGAATCGGATCATACCAAAGAAGACCCCCAGACATAACATTCGTAGGTCTAAAAGCTCCAAACATTGTGTCGTTTGCTTCAATGTTCTTCTAATCGTACCTCCTCACGCCATCAATCAATCCTCTTCAAAATTCAAGAATCGGTCGGCCCCTCCGCTCCGCGCCAAGCCTTAAATTCCGCGAACCAATCAGCATTCGCTTCATGACCTCAACTCTCTAACCTCCATCATTGCTTCAACTGCGAATGCGCATACCAAAATGTCGTATTATTTCGCAATCGTCGGAACGCAAGACAACCCTCTCTTTGAATATGAATTTGGAACTGCGAAACAGGGTGGTGATGGGATCGCCAGGTTTCCCGAACAGGCCAGACATATGAATCAATTTATTGTTCACAGTAGTTTGGATATTGTCGAGGAGGTGCAATGGGGTGGTGGACAGATGTATGTGATTTTATTTTGCACGAGATGCGACTGGATTGGATACTAATAATATTCTTTGTAGGTATCTGAAATGCATCGATCGGTTTTACAATAATTACGTATCGTGCTTCATGACGGGTGGAAGTAAGTTATGCTTTTCTTCTTACAGATATGCATCGTGATGGTGCTAATATATGTAGATGTGAAATTCATGCTCTTACACTCTCCCTCTCAACCTGCAAACCCAACGACTTCGAGAACCTCTACATCGATCGGAGCAAATCCTACTTCGCCTCAGACAGAAGAGGCCATTAAACAATTCTTCACGGAAGTTTATGAGAATTGGGTAAAAACGATTATGAGTCCGTTTTACCAGGTCAATCAACCAGTTACGAGTCCGGTTTTCAGGGGTCGGGTTGCGGCGGCGGGGAAGAAATATTTGTGAGGAGTGTTGAGAGGGTATCAAGGAAGAATCATCATAATCATTGCATCGAGGGGTATGACTCTTAGGTGTATATTCTGGTGCGACGAAGAGTATCAGCGCGAGGAATAAGTTCGGGATTCTTGGTATGGATGAAGACTAAAGTCTCGGGATATATCGTATCACATGGAGGATGATGTTGCGAGCAGTAGTTGGTAGTACATTATGGAAGCCATCTACGCTACCATGTGGCCTCGGAAATCCCCAGAGTTCATCAATTGCATCTCACGACCAGGAATTTAGTGGGAGATCTCACTGCGCGCAAAGGGACCGGAGTATGGTAGCTGAAAGAAATCCCAGGCTTTGAGGGATTCCTTTGCTTGCACTGGCCCTTTGTCATACAACAGATACCTTAGCACGGTTTAGATTCTCATATTGGAGATTCCTCGAATCTTCCTTATCAAAATGGCGGTCGAGACCATACTTTGAGGTGGGAACCGAGGCTCATCACTGTTTGAGCCCATACACGCTGGGAGTGGTTTATGTAGCTGAAGAAATACGCACAATGGGACGCGATGGGAATCGGTGAGATGGCTCACCAACATTTCCCAAACATGAATGCTACAGAAGAATAGTAATAGATATAATATGATATCCCAAAACAAGTATTGTCACCTCTGCGAATTTCCAACAGAAAATTGCGATGTTTTCGAAAGTGTCTGGATAAGTCCTGTAATGTGATTGTGAAGACTGGCGGTAAGAAATCTCTGGTACCTACCTAGCTAGTAGTCTCTTCCCAACTCGTTACTCCCTAGCTACCATAGCATAGCACAATACCCTTTAACACACTTATTGTTACTTCAATGAACCTTGGATGGTAAGATTACTTTCCTGTAAATGAAAGTCATGCATGTTTGAAGTCTCTAGTACTTTTATGAATTTCCTTGTGTCTTTTTGTGTTGTGATGTATTGTGTTATATTGTGAGTATTAGGAGTTCATGTATATAATGGGATGGGATGGGATTGGAAATGAAATGAGATTGTAAAAGTATGGATAGGTACCTATGGATGATTCTGATAATGCGTGTTTTGATGGATGAGAAATGAGGAATGAGAAATGAGTGGTGCTTTGGTGTTTAGATTGTAAGTGGGAATATATACCCTTGATTTGGAAGATGGAAGATGGAAGGTGGAAGATGGAGGATGGAAGGTAGAAGGTTGGGGTTTGGTGATTGCTTGGTTTGACTTTTGACTTGTGGCTTTTGAGTTGTGGCTTTTGAGTTTGGGAGTTACCTACAATGTATAGATCTAGATAGTTTGGAATGGGGTTACTTTTATTATTGATGATATTATATATGGAGTAGGTTGTGTAGAATATAGATGTACATAGGTAGTACCTACAAAGTAGTATATATGTAGTATTGGTTCCGACGCGTAGGAAATGGTAGTTTCGTGAAGATGATGGATACCTACTCATAGTTGTAAGTAATACTTCACCACCTCTTTAAAGATAGGGAAAGGGTTAGATACCTACCTAACTCTTGATGGATACTGATATATCTCAATACATGTATTTTTATTTGAATTTTTATTTGAATTTGAATTTGAATTTGAATTTCTTTTATATATAGATACTAGGTAGTTCATTTCTTAACAATGAATCGATGAGATCAATATCAACATCCCAAGTACTCGCTTATCGATGCACCCCTGGAACTAAGGCGAAGTAACGATCCGCCGCATTTTACGCTTATGATGGATGGATGGATGGATGGATGGATGAGCTTTAATCGGGACTCGGAACATTTCACGTCACGCACGCAACAAATAATACAGCCGTAAGCCATATGTGGTGTTGTGTGTGTGTTCAAATCCAAACCACCATAATAATAAAATCGAAAGAACGACATTGAATTTTTTCTATAATTTTCCTCGGCAATCACCCCCCCAGTCCCTTTCTCCCTTAGATAATAATAAAATATCAATTCCCATTCCCATTTCCATTAATTTCTCAAAAGGTACTAGCGTCAAAACTCCCATTTTCCAGATCACTTGTTTCCTGATCAAAAACCAACAAATTCCCTCCCCCCTTCGGATTTCCATTCTTTTATTTAACAACTTCATATTCCGCCACTACTTACTTCGGAATTATCATCAATACATCCATCCATCGTCTTATTAAAAGACGCGTTTATTATCTCAAATAATCAAATCCACTCCGTAATAACTACTTCATCATGACTGGACGTAAGTTATAATACCTTTTCTTCTCTTGATTCTTATGTTGAAGTTGAGATTGTTGTTGTTGTCGGTCGCGATATTTGAGGATGATGTTTTGGTGTTGGTGTTTTGATCTCACTCCACTCCATCATCTATCAACGCGATAAGGTATCCACATCTCTATGATGTCGATATACCTACCTACCTACAACAATGATTATCTCACTTCAATAATATACCATCACATCAATCATGCTTCAACATACTAATGATATTCTTCAATAGGTG